CATAAACCGAGACCCTGGCTCTCCTATGAGTGTAATGTGTTCTTCAGTTATTTTATTACGATAATATTTGTCATCTGTTTTTTGATTTATAATAGTGTAGTCTTTACGTCCATCAAAATATAGACTTTTCGGTTGCCTATCAGTTTGTATTTTAAGATCTTGACGTTTCTTATGTCTCTCTCTCCTTATTTTCATTCTGTCGATCACATGTTGTTTATCATCAGTTTTAATTATTCCAACATCTTGTAGTATTGCACTAGCAATAGTAGCAGCAGTTCGATCAGATATTCCTGTTCTATCACACGCTAATGCTAGAGCTGGTAACTCGAGTCTCATTTGTGACTGTTTATTAGAACTATACGTTGATGGCAATGAGGACATTGCATTTGGTGAATAATTGGAATCTTCGTCAGTATTGTCGTCAGTGTCAGTATAATATGTTACTATTGTTTTGAAAGTATTATTTACACACAGCTCTTTTTTATTTTGTTTGTCAATTCGATTTGCTTCTATTTCTTTTCAGTGCATGTTTTTATTAAGTTTTTTGGTTGTTAAAACATCAATCGATGACATGGCCATTTTTCTCATTGATCTTTGGTCTTTTAGAAAAACTTGTTCGATAATAGGAACTTTACGAGATTTTTCACAAGAGCAAAGATAGAATTCAATACATTTGCACGCTGCTAAATCAAAAAGTGTGACTTTTGCATTATTCTGAAATTTTTCTAGATTTGATTTAAAAATTAATGTATTTTTCCTGTTTTTAATAGATTTAATTATTTTTTTGTACTTATCGTGATAATTTATTAACAATTGTAGTGCACGATTGTGCGATACTATTGGAATAGAGGCTTTCTGCCATATTTTTTCTACATCTGTCACTACTATATCAGAAATTATTTTAACAGTTGGATCTTTTCCATTACTACTTTGTTTTAGTTGGTTTCTTACTTGTAAATAGAACTTCATTACATCTGCATAGGTAGGTAAAACTAAATTACTAAGAACACAAGTGTCACCAAAAATTGGACATTTTGACTTAATTCTGGTACAATTAGCCATTTCAGAAATGAATTGAAAATTAAACGCGTTAATAACTTTATATTAGCACTATAGAACGTCGTTTACGTCCACACTCGATGATAAATTGATAAATAGTGCGATACTAATCGTAAGTCAAATGATAATAATGCTGATTGCCTTATTTAATCTATTAAACTTTTAACTATGGTCAAAATAAATTTGGTGATATCGAAAAGTAATAACAATTATAATACTTTGGTTTTTCGTTACCTATTTCTATATATAGATTTTAAATGCTCGGCGGCACCTCAAAACAACACTCTATATTGACAATTTTTTTTTTACATATTATACATACTAAAACACAAGTTTTCCTTACTATTATAAAATTAATTTACAAAATAAATTTTTTCGTTCCACCCTAATGTGTATGGTGGTGGGGAGGTGGGTGTCTATATATTGTCTTGCACCACTAAGTATTACACATTCAAACCGCCTCTGGTTGGAAGCAGACAACGTTGTAAGTTAATTGGATGTGGAAAACTAACCAACTGTACCTGCACTAAATGCAATAACTATTTCTGTTGTGGAGTAAACAGAAACTGTTTTACTTTATTTCATAAATACTAATTTTAATAACCTATTGTTATCTATTATTTTATTATTAATTATTCATTAATTTTATATACTCCATAAGTGTTTATTTAATTGTTTGATATGTACTAAAAGACTCATATTCTATTATAAAAGTGATAAATATTAAAATGTGATAATTTGTTATTATATCTTAGTTTTTATAATCATACTACTGTAAAGGAAGGTTACCTATTATTTTATTATTCATTATTCATTCATTTGATAAGTATTGTTATTATAATTCCTAAGTTTTTATTTAATTTTTTATATCTACTAAAAGTCTGATAATCTATTATAAAAGTGATCATTTGTTTTTATATTTATATATATATATATTTTTTAATCATGCAGTGATATAAGAAAGATAGTATCTTTTTCATTATTATAATTCATAAATATATTTTTTTGAATTTGTTTGGTATATTATATTGGAAGTTTAATTACCAATACTATAACTATTACTATTTGAATGTGACAATTTAATATAATAAAGAAAAGATTTCTTATTGTTAGTTAGTTTGTTTTTCTTTTTTTTTTATACTTCAATGCATGATGTATCGTGGATGATACAGGAACTTAAGTAGTCCTTAAAAAGTGAAATTTAAATAAAATTCAAAAAAAGTATTTTTTAGATGATCATTAATCTTATTTACATCTAAAAATAATTTTTTCAACTGAAAGTTTCACCATAAAAATTAAGTCATGCAGTGTAGAGTTAAATGAAGTATAGTATGATATGAAGTGATTTGTATATTATGAAGTTAATTATTGTATTATATTACTATTATTAATTAACTGATATATAATTATATAAAGTAACTTAAAATATATAAAATATATCTGTGCAGTGACGCATAGAGGTTTTAAAATAAGTGGGGTTTAATGGCCTAAATAGTTTTTAGCATACCCACCACCCCAAATAACATTGTTCTCTTTGAAAAAACATTTTTGCAATACATTGTTTTTATAGATATCGTATAGCTTAATAAATAGAAAATTCAAATTCAAATTATTAATTATACAACTTATTATTAGTATGGTCAAATAAATAAATATACATTTAATGTACTTATTAAAAAATTTTTGATTATAATAGGCTATATTAGGTTAGGTTAGTTACAAAAATATTTATTTATATACTTCAACTTCAAATGTATAATATTTAAATAATTTATTATCATAAATCATAATATGTATATATATATTAGTATTATAATAATTGTAAATTATATTTTGAATGCAATATAATAGGTATAAAACAAGGTAAAAATAAATTATAATTTATAATATTAATGCTTTTTGTAGATGATTATCATCTAAAACAATATCATGAAGCAAAGATGTTCATGATATTTTCCTAATATATAGTTATATCTTTTTAACAAGTTATTCTCATTAATCCTTGTAATCTCACTTGTCCCATAGTAGAACGAAGTTGATTCTTCTCAATTTTTAGCTTAGAAAACGCTCTTTCAGGACTAGCACTAGTAACCGGTAACGTCAATCCTATTTTTAACATTGCATACACATTTGGCCATTTGGGAATACAGATATTAAACCTTAATTTAAAAAAATTTGAAAAATTGGTTGTAAACTTCCCGAATTGTTTTCAATGTTTGATACAATATTTTTTGAATTATTATCTTCTTTGTCAATTCCATCATCGCTTTCAGGTTCAGATTCACTCCCAAATATTTCTTCACATTTACTATGTAAGGTGTTTGGTAAAGCTTCCGATGTTATAAAAGTATGAAAAATTTAAGCAAATTGTAAGTACTCCGAACAAAGATATTTTTTATCAACAAACTTTCCATATAATTCTAAGAAGAGCTTAAAACTATCTTTTGGAAAAAAATTAGGATCTTGATTTATTTTAAAAATTACTTTACTTGTAAGAAGTGATAGATCCTTAAGAACACCAATTGATTCATCATTGGAACGTTCGGACAACTGTCTTTGTACTATGTCTAGTGCAGAAAAATATGTGTTCACTTTTATGTTTTGAATAGGATCTAAAATAAGTTCGTCATCTGAAAGTTCACCAGGCATTTTTTTCTTCTTACGTAAACGAGGAGTGGGCAATTAAATGAATTCTTCATTTTCATCTCCTTGTTCTAAGACAAAAACATCTACTTCTTGAGATAAATGTTTAAAACTCTCATAGGATCGATTAGTTGATATTTTTATTTTATTTTGTTCAATCATTGAAACAGCTAACATCAGATCTAGATCTTTGCTTTGCAATATAGAGCTGGTTGGTGATAGTATATCAATTAATATTTTGAATGTCAATGCTGTCCATACAACGCTTTAAATAATCAAGTATAGCTCCAGCTTCAAATCCAGTTTTTCTATCACCTGGTCCATCTTTACTTCGAATTATTTCTAATGTGCCTATTACAGCTAAATATGTACTCAAAACCACGTACAGTGCATATGAAAATGACATCCAACGTGCAGTTGTCACACGTTTTATTCGACGAATTTGTTTCTTCTTATATCTTTCTTTTTGAAATTGTTCATAATACTTAACTCTAATTTTACTTAAATTAATTAGATCATATAATTTTTCTAAATTTCCAAACATATCCATTGTATTAACACCTGAACTTACAACATCAGTAATCACCAAGTTTAATCGGTGTGCCCAACACCATATATAAATAGCATGAGGATTTACTTCTTTGATTAAACTTTGAAGACCATTATAATTACCCCTCATATTGGCAGCACCATCATAAGATTGGCCAACAAGATGATTTTTCCAATCTAAGTTCAACAAATCACAAGTTTGTTTAAAGACATTCATTAATTCGCGACCTGTTATTATAGGTGTTTCCAGGACAGCTATTAGACGTTCATAAATACTACCAGAGTTTTTATCGATGTTACGAACAATAAACGACAATTGTTCTTTTCGAGATACATCAAATGTTGTATCAAGTGAAACACTAAAGAAAGGAGAATCCTTTATACTTTTAGATATGATTCCGACAATATCATCTGATATACATTCTATGAGTTCATTTGGTCTCCGCCATGATATGAAAGACCACTGAGGTTTATTATTTTTATTTTTTAAATTTGAAATATATGGTGCCATTGTAGGGGAATAGTTTGAAACAAGTTCTACTAAATCTTTGAAATGTCCACGCAATGAATCTGACCATTTTTCACGATGACCACGAAAAGCTAAAGAATGGCGGCCCAAAAACAAAGTGATGTCAATGAGTTCTTTTACAATTCCATGATTACAGAGGACTTCAAATTTTCTTTTTTCAGTCAGTGATAGAAGAATGGGTAACACTTGATTTCTCAATTTAAATTTCAAAGACGCATCTATATGATTTGTTGACGTTTCATGAACTAAAATTTTGTGTAATGCATTTTTCCATTTACTAACACCATTAATGATCCAGTTGTCTCTTTTTGTTCTACCAAACATCTGACAATGAAAACAAAATATTTTGTCTGTGGAAATAGAATATGATAACCTATCTCCGTTAACCAAAGTCGTATCATTTAATTTTTTTGTAAACCACGACTCTTGAAAACTTCTGTGTTCCTTATTTGTTGGAAACTTAAAAATATTATTTGTAGGTCGACACGGCCCTTTTTGTACTATCATGTCAGTAAATTCTGGCGTAACATTGGTAAATGTATGAATTTTGGCTGGATCATTTTCATATATCAAAATAGATTGTGTTGAAGTTGAAATACATAACGTTTCTTGAAACATAATATTTTCTGAAATCAAAAAAAAAGTATTTTTTAAATTAAAAACTATTTATAATAGTTAATAATTTTAACAATACCTGATACAAATTATGTCAGGTGTGTGTATTAATACATGTAAAATAATTAAATATAAATATACTAGTGTGAATAAAGAATAAATACATATAATTGTATGATAATCTTACCAGTTGATATATTGTTCATATTGATCATCAATTCTATTCAGAATAGAAGAACAAGTTTGATTATTTTCTACATTTTCGGTATGGTCATTACTACTTGTACCTAAATGAAAATATTAAAATTGAAATCCCAAAAATGTATCTCAATTTAACTATATGAAAATCTTACAAATTGATGTCGATTGTTCATATTGATCATAAATCCTATTCAGAATAGAAGAACTAGGTTGATTATTTCCTACATAAGTAACGTATGAATTTTAGGCCCGATGCACACGTGCGTTTTTTGCCGCTGCGGCGCCGCATTTGTTGAATACACACCATTGCGTTTTTGTTGCGGTAATCGCACGTCATCCAGTCGCCCAAGACGGCCTTCAGCATGGAACATCACTTTAGTTTCACTTTAGTTGCCATTCAGTTATCAACTATGGAGGTTTATTACAAAAAATGCAATTTTAGCTTACTTGGTGCACAAAAAATATTTACGGACGTATGATAGACGTTACTGGGTGCACCCATTTACAGATTCTAGGTTATTAAAAGGTGAATTTTATACTACATTTAGTGATATAAGAAAAAATCCAGAAAAGTTTTTTACTTATTTTCGAATGAGTGTTCGCTCGTTTGACGAACTAGCAACAAAAGTAACTCCAAAGCTAATCTCTCAAGACACGTGCATGAGACTCTATACCATCACTAGAAATGATTGCAGTAACTTTGAGGTAAGTTAATTCTATTGTTATTATTTATTTTCGTAAGTAAGTACTAAATGTATATATAATATAATAAATTATATAAAAGGTATAAACGTGAAAAACATATTTATTTACTTTTTAAATATATGGATTCAAGGCCGTAGCTGGAACAAATTNTTGTTGGCATATTATGTAAGTAAAAAAATATAAAATGGCATTCAAACAATTATCTTTAATTTTTAACTATTATTATATTGATTAGCAAAAACATACTACGATCAAGGCCGTAGCTGGAACAAATTTTCGGGGGGGGTTTAAAACCAAATTACCATATGTATTTAAATATCTAGTTAAAAAAAAAAGATATTTTATGATATTATTTAATATTATTACATAGATACATTATAATAATGGCCTGTCATAATTTTACAAAATTTAATTATTACAATATACTGAAGTTAAAATACTAAATTATGATATAATACAGAATAATAATATAATACAATACATAATACAAAATGTTTTCCGTTTCTTTTCAGCTTAAATTTTAAATACATTTTTATAGCACAAGGTCTGTTTGTCTTTTTTTTTCTTTCGCAAAACGGTCAATCACTTCATCTATATTTATTTTAATATGTCTATGCACACTCAGAATTTCAATTGCATTTTTCCATTTATTGAATGGTTTTGTTACTAATACGCCGGGTTTCTGATGTGCACCTTTACCAGTATAATTATGAAAAAATATAGCACAATACTTACACACCGCTCCAGAACCTTGCATATTAGTGTAACATAACAAGGGAAATCGTTTGATCCAATTTAATTGAAATTTTAAATTTCTATTTTCTGATATAGGAAATGTAAACTTCTCATCAGGCATCCAAACGTTAGAAAGTAACTTATATTTTAATTCATCACTAACCTTTTGATTAAAACAGCAACCAATATCGGCTACATCACTCTTAGAGTTTTCTGTTGTTACACTGCTTGTAACTGGTGCAATTGTAGTTAACATTGAACTTGAAGTACTTGCTTCATTTCCATCATGCGTAGTTTTTATTTTTTTATTAAAATAGTTTGTTAGACTATTAGAACAACTGGTTTTACGAGATGACATTTTATTAAAAAAATAAACAAATTATACACTTAATAATTAATATTATATTCAAGTTTAAGAGGTAATAGGTACCTACTACTAATACGACGACGTCTCAACACAGACTACAAAGGAAGTTGTAGGTACCGATAATCGAAAAGCTTCGGGGAAAAAGGCAGTAAGACGTTATCGTCGTCTGTCAATTAATCGTTTACATTCAATCGCTTGTGCGTATATATGTATATTGTATATAAATTCATATACGGTTCGTATTCGCACGATTACCGGATTATAAAATAATATAATATAATTTTCGAAACGATATAAATATATGACTGCAATACGATTGCGCGCGGTCCTTATCAGCCGTCAAATATACAGATTATAAATGCACGGTAAATATAAGGTTAGGTTCCGATTGTGGTGATCCGTACGTTATTTATTACTTATTATTGCCGATTATTTCAAAGTTCAGTTTACTAACTATTTTAAAATTTCGGGGGGGGTTTGAACCCTCGACCCCCCCCCCTAGATACGGCCTTGATGCCACCTGCCGTCAACATACTTCTGACCTTTTTTTTTTTTGTATATTATATTCACATTAATGTATTTGCGTCCAACGCCCTCCATTGTCTATCTAAAAAATTCAAACGAGTAGTTAGCCAATACGAAATGTTACTGTTTAAGAAAATTAGGAAAATAGTAACATGTTTAAAAAAAAAAAAAATAACTTTCCAATTTTTATTTTTTTTATTCTTAAACATTTTTAAATAGTAATAAATAATTGTAATAAATTAATTAGATTAACAATAAAAATAAAATAAATATATTAACTTTTGAAATATTTTACTTTCGATTGTTATTTTAAGACATTCAAGTTATTATTATTATTTTATAGTATGAAAAGATAAGTATACATGCCTTCTAAATTCTAAGCATAAATTTTATGATTCGATTTAATTACTTTAGACACTGCAGAAGCGACCTAATACATTTCAATATGAATTCTTTAATTACATGTAATTATATTACAAATATATGTTTAAAATATATTGATTAATTACCTATATAATATTTTCTTACAATTCCTATCCTAAAATATTTGAAAAAAAACATGAACTAGTTTATGTTTCCAATGCTTCAGTATACATGACATTTGTCAATTCAATGATAAATTTATCGTGAGACCTTAATATTTTTTTATTATTTAATATTTTGTATTTTATATTCCATCATAATTAATAATTATTATACTCGATCACCCATTAGGTACATAAAAAGCTATCTCAAACATTTTGCTTTTGGTAAAAAGATTATTCACTCAAACGTTTGACCCTCATTAAATATCCGTATCGTAACCATGAATGTGGACATGCATAAAAAAAGTAAAAATTACTAATTTATAATATAGGTATTTTGTTCTTGCTATTTATTTGTAGAATAAGTTAGATTGTTGCATAGATAATATGATTTTTGCACAAACATCATCGTCAAATTTGTTTGATGGTGATGTATGGGAATTTAAGATACAGCATTGGTGCATATAATAATAGTTTAAATGAAATCAAACCTTCTATCAACCCTTGGCCAAAACACACTTCCAAGAGACGCCACAAAGTCATAATTAATAGACTAAGAATTGGACACACCTGGCTCACCCATCGTCACCTCATGAGACGTGAAGATCCAGACCCATGTACAACCTGTGGGGAAGCTCTAACGGTTAANCCCCCCCCCCCCCCCAGATACGGCCTTGTATGGATTATAACATTACAAAATATAGGTACACGTAGGAAAAGTATAAGTAATGTAGGTACCAAATAAAATAATATTCCTTGTTAAATATTTTTAATTAATGTCAATACTATCTTCTTCACTAACACTATAATTGTTTCCAATTGATAAACATGGAGATGTAGGATTGGAATCCATCTCATAGTTATATGATTGAGGAAGCGGAGCAGAATATGTGCCAGGTTGAGTATATCTTGGCGGGCTTTGTTGCATGTTATTTGATTGAGGAAGTGGAGCAGTATATGGACCAGGTCGGGTATATCTTGGGGGGCGTTGTTGCATGTAATTGGTAGTTTGATGTTGGTATGACGCAATTTGAAGAGAGTAGTTTGATAACTGTGATGTTTGCTTAGCATATAAATAATCCTAATTAATTGGCGGATAACCATAGTTTTTTGGCGGTAAAGTCGCAGCCCTCATCCATTTTATAATATTTAGTACCTCACAGCGGAATTCTATTTTCTGGTCTTCTGTTAAATTTGCAATGGATGGCAATATGCTGTCGAAAAAAGACCTGTCTGGATTTGGTTCTGAAGCTGGTGTTGTTATAATTTGACTAGGAATAGGAGTGTTTAAATAATCTATTAAAGATGACTCTAAGTCATGTTTACGTTTTTTTGATGAACTGCTTAGTGTGTATGAGGGAGGTGTTTCAGCTTCATCGTTAGATTGGTTTGCTAATAATTCTGTATCCTCCTGTTCGTCGTTACCATCAAAACTACCCTGTGTATTGGTTGTGGCCCCAGCTGTTAGTAAAAAAGATAGCTGACGATCATAAATGTAACGTCTCCCTAAGTTGGCACCCTGTCCTGACGTTGTTTTATTTTTATTTTTACTTTTAGTGTGATTGTCTTTTATATTTCTCCACTTTTTGATAAGTTTTTCACCTAAGAAAAAATAAATTTATATAATTCGTGAGAGTATACAAGTGCAAGTTGAAAAAGGTGGGTAAGTGGATGTCGCTCTGCTGTATAGTATGTTACAGTGGGACACTGTATAATGGATGGTATTAAATTTGAATTCAATGATATAATATCATTGTATACGAAAAACAATTCTGAGCGGTGACGGTTTGTCAGTGTGGATATTTTACATTATATTAATTATATTTTTATTACTTAGTTATTAATACGGTAGCCGGAATAAGTTGAATTAATATTGTAAAATTACAAAAAAATAACTAAAATACTTATTCTTGGTTTTTTAGTATAATTAGAAAAACTCATGAAGAATCTTGTATTATATTTTAAAATCTTAGATTTAAAAACAAAATTTTTTATGAAATTCTAACTTAAAATAATTTCCAAATTTTCGTCGTTTTTACGTATTTTGTCAATATTTGAACTTTAAATGCTTATAAAAAAAAACTGTGATTAAGGATTTTTAATATTTATTTTTTTAAATGAATTATATTAGAAAACTATTAAAAAATAGTAATAAGCACAATATAACAATATAAATTCACTTTGCTACCCGAAACCTCGAAATTGTTAGAATAAATTAAAAAAATATATGAGTATAATTATATGAGTCGTAATTTCATTACAGGTACTTGGGAAGTGGTTGTGATCAGGTAGATCTACATTTAACTTATTTAACCTATAGGATAGGACACTCAACTATTGGAAACATTTTGAGAAGGGTTTGTGGTGTTACATGGGAAGTACTACGATCTGAAACATTTCCTGAGCTGAAGGAAGAACAATGGAGAGATATAGCTGATAGATTTCAAAACTACAGTCAGTTTCCCAATTGCTTAGGGGCAATCGATGGCAAACACGTTAGTATTCGTAAACCGAA